GGGCTGGCTGGCATGTGGTGCTGGGGGATTGAACTGCGGTCCCTGTGCTTTGCCAAGCTTGTTCCAAGTAGGTGCTTTAGACCACTGAGCCATCTCACCAGCCCCGGATTTTACATACTTTATTTTTTTAATGTGCCCTGGACTTCAAATAGACCTTTCATCAAATAAATGAGATAGTAAAGCAGTAGAAGGTTGAGGAGGGAAGTCTAGGGCCAGTGAAATTGTCCCTATTTCTTAATTCTAGTAGAGTCGATGGCTGAAGCTGAAAGGCAAAAGTCTCAGAAGTGGCTGTGAGTTCAGGTTACTCACAAGTAACTATGGAATCAGTAGGGGAAAGGATGGTGGAGCAGGAATGAAGACTGAAAGGCTGGGAAATGTTTGTTTAAGGGGGGAAATGGAAGGAAGGAAGATGAGCTTAGCCTCGATCGAGGGACAGATTACAGCAGTCAGAAAGCGGCTCTGTGCACAGGGTTTGTGCCGTGGAGAGCAGACGGCAGCAAGCTGGGCATACCGGCGGGTGCGGGGGGCACAGAGCAAGGAACATCTGTCCTCCTCTGGGGGAGGATAATGTGCTTTTCAGGGATGCAGATGTCCAGTGATGTCAAATGATACTGAACATTTCCAGAAAATATAGAAGATGGATGCTGATTTCATAATGTCATTTCTCTCAGTTCTTGTGACCTAAAGTACACAGAAGGAGTACAGTCCCTCAACTGGACCAAAATCATGAAGACCATCGTGGATGACCCTGAGGGCTTCTTCGAGCAGGGTGGCTGGTCTTTCCTGGAACCTGAGGGTGAGGTGCGTGAGTGTGGGGTTTCTTTTCTGGAATACAGTGCTGCCTGCTGCCATTCAAGCAGTTAGCAAAATGGCACAAGGATAGTACATGAGGGCCAGAGCAGCTGGGAGAACCACTGAACACAGCTTAGTATGGCCGTTTCTTCAGAGTATTCTTACAGGTACAGTAGACCCATGAAATCTGCAGGCGTTTCGTTCCTACAGGCCCCGCAAAATGTGAAAAACCACGGATTTCATATATAGTCAGAAAAATGCCTATTTTTATTGTTTAAACCCTAAATATACTATGTCTTGTACCATAATTTAATAAAATACTATCTTATAAAGCTTTAGAGGCCAGGGAGATGGCTCAGTGGAATAAGTGCTTCCCTGGCAAGCACAAGGGCCTGAGTTCAATCCCCGGTTCCACAATAAATAAATAAATAAATAAATAAATAAATAAATAAATAAATAAAGCTTTAGAAAGTACAGGGAGTTTTGGCAGTGTCTCAGGGAACTTAAGGCTTTAAGAATGAAACAGTACCCTCCAGGTAGCTACAAACAGTACAGCAGCCTGTTACGACGAGCGGGAGTGCTGGTACATCAGCTGGAGATGGGTTATGGGGCACAGCAGGAAGAACTGAGTGCCACTAGCAACAGGCTTTCCACCTTTGTGTGAGACATTATTATAAGATCTTTTTGGTCCTTCATTTCTCTTAGCAAGGAAGGATGATCCTTTCACAATATGAATTGGTATGTGCAAGACCCTAGGCTCAATTCCCAGCACAGAGAGAAGAAAAAACAAAGACAAAAAACAAAAACTAGATGTTAAATGATCTATTGACTGTACCTTACCAGTAATGAGACCAGTCATTTATATTTTGGTCATTCAGGGCTGGTAATACTGTAGATACTAAATTGGTTAATTTGTTACAAGGTGAATAAAATAAATAGTATTATGCTTATGCTCTAACTTAACCAGGGGAGTGATGCTGAGGAAGGGGATTCAGAGTCTGAAATCGAAGATGAGACTTTCAATCCCTCAGAGGATGAGTATGAAGAGGAAGAGGAAGATAGTGATGAAGATTATTCATCAGAAGCAGAAGAATCAGGTTAAATTTTATAACAAAAAATTCTCATGGCTTTCTGATCTAATTTTATTTGTGGAACTAATAAAAATACGTGATTCCATTCCTGTATGACTAACTTACAATCACTGTTCTTCCAGACTACTCCAAGGAATCTTTAGGCAGTGAAGAAGAGAGTGGGAAAGACTGGGATGAACTGGAGGAAGAAGCCCGAAAAGGTTAAAAAGAGATGTTACTGTTTTTGTTGACTTGCTATTCTATTCACCCATTTATTTATGCATAAATTTCTAGCCAGGTGTGGTGGTATATGTCAGTAATCCCAACACTAGGGAGGCTGAGACAAGAGGATTGGGAGTTTAAGGCCAACTTGAGCTACAGTAACAAGACCTTGTTATTACAAAAACAAGTTTCTGGGGCTGGGGAGATGGCTCAGTGGAATAGGCGCTTCCCTGGCAAGCACAAGAACCTGAGTTCAGTCCCCGGTTCCACAAAAAAAAAAAAAAAGGTTTCTGACACATTTCTGTATTTTGAGATTGTTTTAGTATTAGTAACCTAATGAGATAACAACAACAACAAAACCAGTATCAATCTGACTTAGGTGTGTTTTGTTTTGTTTTGTTTTGTTTTGGTATGATTTGGTACCAGAGATCAAACTCAGGACCTTGTGCCTGTCAGGCAGGCTCTTCGGCCACTGAGCTAACCTCTGTGGCCCTGTAAATCTAACTTGAAGTGACAGCTATAACTTCATTGGCCAAAGGGAAAGTTAGGTCTGGAATGTGTCCTTATATTCTCAAGTGAGTGGGTGGGTGCTTTTTCTGCCCAAGCCCTTGGTGTGCCTGTAGCCAGTATATCATGTAGATATGTACAGTTCCAAGGTAGGCATGTTGATACAGTGCTAATCTTTATCTGGTTACTCTGAAACCAAACTGCAAATACAAGTTAAAGATGAAGAAGAAATATTTATTATCTGACATGTCCCAAATATCATGATAGGTACCTTGCACAAAATAGTTTCTTTAATTTCTTACATAATTCTCTGTCTTACAGATCAATAAACCAAGGCTCAAAATTTAAGTGCTTGCCTTGGATCGCATAACTGTCAGCTGAATGAATTCTCCATAACATTTTATGCTTGAGGGCCAGGGAGTTAGCTTGGCAGCCCTGGCAAGCTCAAGGTCCTGAGTTTAATCTCTGGCACCAAAAAAAGAAAGAAAGAAATTTCATGCTAGCTGGACATATCAGGTGACTAAAGCTAACTGATAACACCCCTTCTTTCTTTTTAGCGGACCGTGAAAGTCGCTATGAGGAAGAAGAAGAACAGAGTCGAAGTATGAGCCGGAAGAGGAAGGCGTCTGTACATAGTTCAGGCCGTGGTTCCAACCGTGGCTCCAGACACAGCTCTGCACCTCCCAAGAAAAAGAGGAAGTAACACCTGAACTTTGGCTCTGAGCTCCACTCTTCCTTCAACCAACTCCAGAAAATTTTACATGACAATAGAAACTGGGTTTTTCCTTTTTGTTTTCTTTGATGTTTTGCCATTTTGTTTATGGGTTTAAGGGGCCATTTGTGTGGACCAATCTACTCGGGGAATTCCAGGACCACCGGGATGTGTGCCAATGGCCCCATTCAGATGGCAAGGGAGGAAGTGTTCTTGAAGAAGGGTGGAGGCTCCCACTGTTAATAAATACCGCGCATTCCTCTTCCTGTCACCTTCTGCCAGGACATTGATGGCTTTTGACATCTTTGGTGTCTCAAAGCTGTATTTCCAAGACAGTGGTACAAGGTAACCCTTAATCTACCTGTGCCATGGTTCTTGACCAGCAGATTCAGTCCATCTTACCCTACTGCCATGACCTTCCTCACGTCTCTCTACGTTCCATCTTTGCGCAATATTCAAGAAGAGGTTCTTAGAATTTGCTAATGATTATGTAAACCATGTAACTTGAGCTAGTGAGGCAGATTGGGCTGGTGCCTTCACCTGAATTTTCCGGATTTATTGTCCTGTGCAGGTTCTGAGGTATTTCTGCCACCTTGGAAGACACGGAGCAGTGGCACTCCCTGCCTCAGCTTTTTCTTCCTAAAAATTCACACGTGATACAATGATAGAAGACAAAATTACCACTGCTTCTCTTTTCTGATGTATCAAAGGAAGAATGGTTGTGTGCCTCATACACTGCTTCAAGTGAAATCTAGAGGGAGGCCCAGGGGATCGAGATTTAGATCTGAAAGGGGCAAGTCATGCCTTGGGCTAGCATTGCCTGAGGAGAAAAAAGGAGGGACAGAGGGAGGCCCTTTGCACAGGGCAACCTCTCACTACTGCTCCTTGTTTTTACCTGTGCTGCCATTGCCCTGTACCTATCAGTTTCTGTTGAGTGGCTTTTTAGGTGCAGGGAATTTTTCTTGCCCTCCTGCCTCCCGGTTCTCTGCACTCACCTGCCCGCCTGCACTTCCGTGCTCCATGACTTCAGAGAAGGGGGGAGGGCTCTCAGATTTTATGTTTGTTTGTTTGTTTGTTTGTTTTTTCTCCTTAGCAGTAGGACTTGATATTTTCAATTTTGGAAAAACTAAAAGATAAATAAACTGTGGGGTTTTTGTTAGTTTGTTTTTTGTAAATTTGCCTTTTGTGACCATTCCTTTATAGTCCATCAGAGGAACCCTGCTTCTCACCTGGTAAAGCACCAAGGTGTTGAAAGAAAATGCCTTTGTCCAAGAATCACAGAAGTGAACTCTGACCTTTCTAGAGTTCCATCATTAGGTTGAAAGATCTAAATATCCCAGCAAAAATACTTAGGGTATAGCAAGTTACTTCATAAGAGACATTTTACTACGGTTCCCTCAGACTTTTGCATGGAAGGGGCATTGATCCTTCACAACAGATCCTCTGTCATCTCCTGGTAGATTCTGTGCAGGGCTGCAGCTGCCTGAAGGGAAATTTTCAGCCTTCCTATTGCTACATTCTGGTCTTCAGGGCTGACAACTGTTGGGAAAAAAAGAAAGGGTCAGGTAGGTGGTGGCAAAACTCAGTGAAACACCAAGACCTCTCCTTGCCTTTCAGGGTGCTGCGATTAAGGGGCATGGTGTTACACACCTGCGATCCCAGCACTCTGGACTTGCCCAGCCCAGCCTGGGCAATTTAGGAAGAGCCTGTCTCAAAATACTGAAAATGGACAGGATCTAGGGATAGGGCTCATTACCAAGAATCTGGGTTTAGTCCCCAGTATACCAGGGCACGGGTGGGGTACCCCTTAAAATAGACTCATAGTGAGGTAATATGGGGGGGCACTAATATATACAAGTGACTGAGACAGGATCTTACTACATAGCCCAAGAGGTCTGAACTTTGAGCCTACCGCGTGCTGGGATTTCTGACGTGCGGTACCACACTCACAACAATTGGCTACTTCAATGCTTAAACCAGAAGTTGAACAAACAGGAAAATAGCTCAATCCCATTTACACTTTATCAACTTCACGGTGATGATTATATTTTAAAGGTAAAACAATTCATTATTGGGATGTTTTTCCTTAGAAGTAAATAAAACTGAGAAACATAAGAACTTCACTTACTTTCGAGCTCTTGCTCTACAATGTCTCTTCCAGATTCAAGGATCTGCCACAGTTCAAGATAGGCATATCCTATTTCTTCGCATTCTTTCTCTGTTTCATCCATAGGATCACTTACCACCGTAAACTTGAAGCTAAAAATAAAAGGTCCATTTAATTTCACACTACTGATCCCTTCTGCTTTAAAAGATGAGGATAATTATAAATAATAGTGTCTTCCCTAAATCTCCCCTCCACTTTATAAGTGGACAGCAAACAAGTGAAAAATTAGTGTAATTTTAATTTAGTAATAGGCAGTAACAAAGTAACAAAGACTACTGTAGTTAATTGCATGAAAATTCAAGGCACACCAGCTGTGCTGGCCCACATCTATAGTCCCAGTACTCAAGGCTGAGGCAGAAAGAGCTCAAGGCCAGCCTAAACTACATAGCAAGTCACTGACTCAAAAGCAAACGCTGCCCCTCCACATGCGCAAAATTGAATAAAGGGTTGGGGTTTGGCTGTGTGGTAGAACACCTGCCTACCAAGCATGAGGGCCCAGGGTTGAATTCCCAGCACCACATAGACAAAAATATGTTTAAAACTTGACCTCCCACTGAGGAAATGAAGATGGTGTCCTAGTGATGCTAAAAAATCACAAAGCTGGTATCAGTACAGAAGGCAAATGGCCAGATTGCTTGCCATCTTCACGTGGCCTGTGAGTGTGCCTATGGGAGCCCATGCAGGCCCTGAAGGCAGAATCACAATTTCAACTGGCTCCTTTCTGTGATTAAATCTAGAGGCAAGGTCAAGAATCGGTTGATTAAAGCATTGGCCCTGTAGAAAATAATGGATTAAAACAACCATCGTATCATTTCTAACCTACATACAAAGAGGAAGTGTTGCCAGATTCAAAAACCAAACTAAACCATACACATTTCAACCAAACGATGTTTTTTTAGTGTTAACTTCCATGCATTATCTGAAAACTTACTATAAAAGGAGGCATTCTCATTACAGGATTCATAAAGATAATTGCCTTTCTTAAAACTTTATTAAAAAAAAAAAACTTTATTTATTTTAAACATTTATTTATTTATTTATTTGTTTATTTTGTGTGTGGCCAGCTCAGCCCACCAGGGGGCGGGCGGGCTGGCATGTGGTGCTGGGGGATTGAACCAGGTCCCTGTTCTTTGCTTGGCTTAGCTTGTTCTAAGTAGGTGCTTTAGACCACTGAACCATCTCACCAGCCCCTTGAAACTTTAAAAGAGTTAAAATTTTACTTAGTTACAGCATCAAATTATTTTTGTAAAGAAAAAAATCTAGAATTCATATGCAAAGTGAAACTTAATGTTTTTAAATCTTTGGCCCTTCTGTCTCAGCCTTCCCAGCACTGGGATTACAGGTGTGCACCACCATGCCTGGTTTTAGTGTCCTGCACAGTACATGGGGCAAGCCTGGCATGCGGTACCAGGGATTGAACCCAGGTCATGGTGCTTGCCAAGCAGGCACTTAGACTGCCAAGCTATCTCCCCAGCCCACAAAGTGAGATTATTAAGGCACAATATTTGATAAACTCGCAGTACTTCTGCATGTGTGAGAAGTAATCCAAGTTATCTCAGAAACTCAAAGCAGTCTGCCCATTGCAGGGAGGGCATGGTCAGGATTTGAGTAGACTACCCTGAAGCTACCTACAGGGTAGGGCTGGGGCCCAGTGGTAGAGCACTGGCTTATGGCAGGTGAGGCCCTGGGTTCCATCCCCAGCGATGGGGAAAAGTGAGCGTGCCCACTGGGCTGCACCAGTGAGAAATGAGTCGAAAGTCTGTATTAAAGCATTGCTCAAGTAGTCACAAGCATTTATTAGAGAGTATCCCCAGGGATTAGTGGGGGTTTTTTGTTTGTTTTGCTTTTTTATCTCTTTGAGAGGGTTTTGCTCTAGAGTTCAGGCTGGCCTTGAACTCACAGTTCTGGAGTACTGGGGTTGCAGTCACTCTCCACCCTACCCAGCCCTTGTTTGTTTTGATTTTGAGACAAATTCTCACTGCATAGCTCAGGCTGGCCTCAAACTTGCTGCCAGCCTCCTGCCTCAGCCTCCCAATGCTAGGATCACAGGCATGCACAACCACATCCAGCTCCAACTTTTGAATTCCTGTTTGAATTTCTCCTTTCTCTCCAAGTGGAAAGCGGATGCATACTGTCCTTGCTCTGGATCTTGCGCCTGCAGCATGCCAAATAGGAACTGCCTTCGGCCTTGTTGCTCCAAAGGGTCCAGGTCAATCACTAAGAGAAATAGGCAAAGAATCACATAGAGTTGCTGGTGTTTGAGCACAAAGACTTTTGTAAGTGATCCTTGGAAAGCAGTGACTTACAGTACAGGCCGACCTCTAGGTCTGTGGGTTGGCTCCCTGGTTTTGTAAAGTCTTATTGAGCACGCCTCTGCCCATGTATGTACGTATTGCCTGGGGCTGCTTCATAATTTTTCTTTTAATACTGCAGCTCAAAGCCAGAGCTTGTGTATGCTGACCACACGGCCCCCCTCAGCTACACCCCCAGCCTGGACTGCTTTTGAACACAGCAGCAGAGTGGAGCAGCTGTAACAGCGGCCCGCCCACAGAACCTGAGCCATTTACTATTTGGTGCATGCCTGTAATCTAAGCACTGGGAGCCCGCAGCAGGAGGAGTGCAGCAAGCTTGAAGCTAGTCTGAACTATGTAGTGAGACCCTGCCTCAAAAACCAAAAAGAGGGGCCAGGGAAATGGCTCAGTAGTATAAGGGCTTGCTTGGCAAGCACAAGGGCCTGAGTTAAATTGTTGGTTCCCACAAAAAGAAAGAAAAGAAAAGAAAGAAAAGAAAAGGAAAGGAAGGAGGGAGGGAGGAAGGAAAGAAAAAAAGGAAAGCCAAAAAGAAAAAGCTGGTCATAAGAGAAGCTATATAATCAGGCTGAAAGCTGTTCTGCCATGTGCCAAAATTAATGTGCACCTATCACTCCACAGCTGATAGAAGGACTAGGGAGATGGCTCAGTAGAATAAGCTCTTTTTTTTTTTTTTTAATTCATTCTTCGGTTTTATTTTTTTTTAAATATTTATTT